ACCAATGCACCAATGATTCCACTGCTTTCTGTGAAAAAAACATTTGGAGGAAGTCCTTATACATGACGTTGTAATTTATGTCACATGACCTTATTAATCTGCATTCTTAATTTTGCTTCTCAGACACTAAGGCAAGTGTTAAAGTAAAATTAATTTTTTAAAAGGTTTAGGAAATAATGGTTTGTGACTAGGGTAATAAGGCAGGAAACAAAGAACAAACAATATGGAAAGTATTATTTATCTAGGTACCATAGTAGGCAACTTCTAAAACTAGTAATTAAAATCTGCAAGGTCACAGAATATAAGATACATATGAAATCTATTATATTTATATACTAACAGTAAATACATGGGCACTGAAACTAAAATTATAGTATCATGAGCCAGTCAGGTGACACAGTGGTCAAAGTGACTGGATCCCACATGGCTAACTATAAGGTTCAAATCCTAGACCAAGTGGTTTGAAAAACACTATGGGGGTGTGTGTGTGTGGGTGTGTGTGTGTGGGTGTGTGTGTGTGGGTGTGTGTGTGTGGGTGTGTGTGTGTGGGTGTGTGTGTGTGTATCGCCAAATCCTGAGAGGAGAATGGAAGAGAAGGGATTATGGCATGGTCATCCTCTCTGGGGTTGCTTTTTCACTTGCCCCTCCCCCATCTCTCTCTGGCAAGTACACACAGCCTATAGCAAATTAAATGTCTTTATATCTATCTGTACACACATATATATAAAATATCATTTGCAATTGCTCAAAAGAAATCTTAAGATTAAATCTAACAATGTACTTGTTTTGTGAGCTGAAACTTCATAGTGTTGATAAGATAAATTTAAGATCTAAATGAATGGAGATAAATACCATGTTCATAGATTGGAAGTGTTGGGACCAGCAGTTGGCATAATGGTTATGTTGCTGGACTCCCATGTAGTTGACTGTGGTTCAAGCCCTTGACCCGGTGGCTTAAACTCACACCTGGCGCATGTACGTGCATGCTCAAGATCCCGAGAGGAGAATGGAGGAGAAGGAATTGTAGCGTGGCCATTCTCCCTGGGGGGTGATTTCTTGCTTTCTGTCTTTCTGGCTAGTGCATGTGCCCTATAGCAAACCTTCCCCCCCAAAACAAACAAACAAAACATAGATTGGGAGTGTCAACCTAGGAAAGATGTCAGCCCTCTCAAAATTATATATAAATTTAACACGATTCCTACAGAAAAAATTCTAATAATTTCTTTTGTCAGTATAGATAAGACTATTCTAAAATACATACAAAAATGCAAAGGACTGGGAGAATCAGTCAAGTTGATTTCAAAAATTTTTACATACATAATCAAGCCTGTGTAATAATAAAAAAAGGGACAGAATCCAGAAAAAGAAGCACACAAATACACCATACTTACTTATTTTAGACAATTTTGCCAAAGCACTCTATGGAGGAAAAAATGCCTTATCCACAGATGATTAGTGGCATTGAAGCAAATGAACATTCTAAGTTCTAGCAAAATGAAAAAGTCTTCATTTTAAGGAATTTCATAACATTAAGAGAATTGTTTTCGAATAGAAAAATTGGCATTGCTGCCTTTAAGAATACCATTAATATAAGAAATTTAAATTGTAAGATATCACATTATATAGAAAAGACAATTCAGAGACAGAATTGTGGCAGATGTTGTGTGTTAACTGTTGTTTCTTTGCCACATGTGCTATATTTGAAAGTTGGAACAGAAAATTTAAAATAAAACATTCTGTGACTAAAAAAAAGATTTCTAATTTCTTTTTACCTTGAATTTTTCTTTCATTTTTTAAAAGATTTTTGCTATAGGGTGTGTATGCTTGCTCAAGAGACAGAGAGAGACAGAGATACAAAAAGAGAGAAATCACCCATCAGGGGAAATGGCTATGCTATATTTCCTTATCCCCTATTCTGCTCTTGAAATTTTGGGTACACACACATATGTGCCTGGCATGAATTTTAAGCCATGGGTTCTGGGACTTGAACTGCGGTCAACTATGTGGGATTCCAGCAACATAATCATTATACCACCTGCTGGTCCCTACCTTGAATTTTTCTAAGAGAAAAAGCGCATCCTAATTTCTAATTCTTTCAATAGCCATTTTTTTTTTTTTTTTGGAGAGGTTTTCGCTATAGGGCATGTGCGCTTGCCAGACAGACAGAGAGAGACATAGAGACAGAAAGCGAGAAATCACCCCCCAGGGGGGATGGTCACACCGCAATCCCTTCTCCTCCATTCTCCTCTCGGGATCTTGGGCACGCACGCACATGCGCCCGGCATGAGTTTTAAGCCACTGGGTCCGGGACACGAACCGCGGTCGACTACGTGGGAGTCCAGCGACATAACCATTACGCTAACTGCTAGTTCCCTCGATAGCCATTTTTAACTTTACGTTATGAGAGTAAGCAATCATCAAGAATTGACTGTCAGTGCCAGATACTTGAATCAAATTCACTTAAGCAAAGAAAGGATTTTTTTTCTTTTCCTGATAATGTAACTGAAATGTCTATTGCTGTATCTGTTTTCATTTATAGCTGAATCATGTATCTCACTCATTGTCTTTCAGATAGGCTCTCCCCTCTGTTAGTTTACCAGCTCTAGTAATAACATGGGAGTCTCTTCTGGGAGTTGGGCCAGAAGAGTGTCAGTGAAGATTCTGACTTGCCTGGCTTGTGTTACATGACTAATCTTAACTCAAATCTTATAGCCAGATGTTTGAGATTCTTTGATTTTTCAGACCTGGATTTCATGTTCTCCAGGTGGAAAAATAAATAATCTCAGCTAAACTATGTAGACTAATTTCTCAAAAGAAAGATTTTTATTACTTTAAGGAGAGAGGGACAATAATTGTGGGTAAGACACAATCTATGTGTAGTTTGAGAATAACAATTTTTATTCAACCATAATGTTAAAAGTACAGAAAACCTTATATTTGGGGAGATCAACTGGAATGCTAGACATAGCCAGTTAACTATTTCATTGCTTTCTGAACTAGTAAAAACTGTCCCCTAGGTGGGTAGTTATTTATGCCTCAATAGATTATAAGTATTCTATTGACTTTGTGACTTTTTTTGTATATAGTGTATTATAAATATTACTTCCTGAATATGAGATTAAATTCATATGATTATAGTTTGAAGATATTTATTCTTATTTCTTTAAACCCATGCTAAGCAAAATTTTTCTTGAAGAACAACAATACCTAAGTGACTGATAATGCAAGAAGGGAATAAACACTACAATTAATTTATTTAAATGGGATAAGATGTAAAGCAAGTAACATGATAACATAATATGATAATACTTCTAGTAATAACTTTGCTGTTGAGTATTCTTAAATATTTCAAAATAGATTTACCTATGCTTTAATAGTTTGGTATCTCTTCTTATGAAATTAGCAAGATAGATAGCATTATGCCAAAACAAGAAAGCTGAAGGTCACTGTCACATTTATACTCGCCACCACATAGCTTTTGTTGTGTTGTATCAGAGATCTTTGTTTGTGTCTCTATCTTACCTGTTTGGATTATGTGGTAGATGTTTCCTATCATTTATTTTTATATTCCCAAGTTTTAGCCATTGCTTAAAGCATATCAGATGACCAAGAAAAAATATTTTTTCAAAATACAATTTAGTTGCCTGTGGTCACAAAGCGAAGTCACATACTGTTGGGATGGAAACAAAATTCTTGGGCTTTTAAATATACCATGTAAAGTGGTCATTAAAATGCACCTACACAGGCCAGTCAGTGGTATGGTCAGTAAGGCAGCTGGATCCCATATGGCTAACTGCGTGGTTCGAGTCTGGGATCCAGTGGCTTGAAAAACATGAGGCATTTATGTGCAGGCATACCCAAAGTCCCAGAAGGAGAATAAAAGAGAAGAAATCTTAGCCATCCTCCCTAGTTGGTGCTTTATCATTTCATTTTCCTTTCATTCTCTGTATCCTTTTCTTTCTCCGGTGAGCATATGTGCCTTGTAGCAAAAAAAAAAAAAGCAACCACATATCAAATTTGTGTGTGTGTGTGTGTGTGTGTGTGTGTGTGTGTGTGTGTATTTCTATTTTTGTTTTTAATTTGCTGAGAGAGACTGGGGGGTGGGGCAATGAGAATGTACTTGCCATGGGAATTGATCACACTGTAATCCCTTCCCCTCCCTTATCATTCCCTTTGGGGTCTTGGGCATATATGTGTTTTTCAAGCTTTTGGGTCTGGGACTCTAGCCACATTGTTGGCTATTTGGGATTCAGCCACCTAAATAAGTACATTGGCTGGCCCACATGTTTTTAGATAAGTGAACACAATAATCTTGAGTGGTCTAGTGATGCAATTAAAGAATATATGAATCAAGGGTCCCAGCAGGAAGTACTCTCAAACTAAATAATCAATGAAGGTTAATAAAGGGACTATGACAAAGGTTAGGTAAGAAAACGAGGGATGTTGCAGGATGCTGGGCTCAGTAATAACATTGAAGAGCTATTCCCACTCCTTTATCTGAAGAAGTAAGGAAAAGTGATTCTGAGAGCCATGGAGGGAGGTGCAAAGGGAACTTGACAATAGATGGAAACAGCACACTCACTGAGATTGATCCAGAAGGCATGGAGCCAGGATAACAGATACTCTGATCTTTACTTTACTTCCATCCTCCCTTCTCATCCTGATCTACCCCATGACTGAAGCCAACCAGAAGACAAGGAGCAAGGTACCCATCCAAGTTTGCACTCCAAAGGCCATGACAGTGAGCAGGGTTGAGAAGACTAGGTGGGGAGATCTGGAAAAGTCAACAGAAGGCATCCAACATGAAAAAATCAGCTACCAAGCCTTAAGGGAGAGGAGTGAAAATTCACTTGACTAGTTAGCCCATGCTTGGTTGGAGACCAGGGAAGCTGATGTAATTGGAAGGACCTGGTGTGCTAACAGAACTTCTGCCACTCTTTGGGAGAGTAACTTGTTCTCATCATGAAATATAAACAGATGGGGTTCTCAGTTTAACTCACCACGTACACTGTGTGCAGCTGTCAGTTGTGGCTACAGTCCTGGGTTCAGGAGTGTTGCAGGCTGCAATTTGTATCCAAGATCTTCCAGAGAACAACTGGCATCCTCTTTGCACAGTAAGTACAGGCTCCATCTATTCACACTGCTAGTATCAAAGAATATTCTTCATTAATTGGATGTGACAGTACATTTACCCCTTTTTTTTGAAAGAACAAAATACTGATTCAAAGACTGTTCTGACTATGAAACTCCCAACAAAACACACCACAGAAGCCAATGAATCAGTTTGGTCTATTTCTTCATGAATAGATTCTTCTGTGTGGCGTGTCACAGTAAGTCTTAATTTGCAATGTCTCTTGCTGCTCACCCCGACTAAGGCAGCAGTAGTCTTCCCTTTAACTTACTTGGCGTGGCTTTTCCTCTTGGGCCATGATGAGCTCAGCTGTATTAGGGTGCAACTTTCACACACAGAATATTAGGAGAATGACCTGAATAAATCTTTTTCAAGAAAAGGCTCAGGCTTGGGTTTCTAATGTTGATGTCTAAAAACTGGAATGTACCACATCTGGTTCCATCAATGTATGACCTTAGTGAACTTATTAACCCCCCTAGATTTTGATATTTTCTTCTTTAAGAAGAGACACTTAATTTCCCTTCCCTTCCTATATGTCTTTAGGGTTTTAAAATCTCGGAAGTGCTACCTCATTATGAAATATTATAACCATATAATATATAGTTATCGAACACAAATATTAACTATCTAAAGGCATGTGTCTTTTGTTTTCTGAAGAATAGTTTATGGGACTCACAATGTAGCATGCTTAATCTAAACTGGAGGAAATGTGTTTTTATTTCAATGTATCATGAAAAGTTGCATAAAAATGGAAAGTCACTAACTGTTTAAAGATTCAGATTTCTTCTGGGGAAATGGGAATGATGAGGAATTTGGTTAAAGAAAATGCATTTAAGTGTCATAAAAATGAAAGTTACTTCTGTGGTTAGGGTGGGTGATGAGTCATAATATTTGATTTGTTAATTTTCCTTCGTATTACATAAATAGTGTTTTGTTACTCTTGACTAATATCAGAGTCAGAATCCTAATTGTGAAAATGGAATGTTTCAGGATTTCTAAAAAGAATATATGAAAGTCATGACCTGAATGACTTTGGTAAAGTAGAAGCAAATGCTGGATTTGCAAAGAGAAAGAACATTAAAGAACTGATTAAAAACAAATGAATAAGAAAGTTGCTTTTTTTTAAGTTTAATATTTTAGTTTAATGAGGATACACACATTCATGCCATTAATCTACTACTACAACTATGTTGTATTAACCACCCAAAACTCAGTAGTTTCAAACAACAGACATTTATTACTACTTATAAATATGTATATCAGCCGAACAGATCTTCGGGAATTGGCTGGACATAAATTTGTAGTCAGTGGTGGTTTGGGAAGTTAGCTGCATTGACTTGGCTGGGCTCTCTTATGTGTTTGTGGGTGGAATAGTTCTATGCTGATCTAGGAGGGGCTCAGCTGAAACGATTAAACATCTCTCCATTGGTTTTTCATATCTGTCCATCAGGCTAGCCAGGGCTTATCTGCATGGTGCCTGGGCATGGTTGAGGCTCAGGCTCAGAATTCACCTCTTTCACTTTGGCACCATTCTTCTGGGCAAATCAAGTGACAAAACTTGCCCAGTGGCATATGGACATAGGAAAAGGTGGAGAACTGGGGCCATGTTTATATTTGGCCTACCATGCCACTCTACTTGAATTTCCTTATGAGTAAGTCAAAGGCCGAGAAACATCTGGAAAACCTCAGAAATTTGGACTGCTACTTCAGCATCCCACTACAACCAGCAGGCTCTGTACAACAAGCCAAATTTGTACTTAGTGGGATCTATAAAACATGTCAATTATTTTTATGAATGTATGAGTTTGGCTGATATGTATTTCCCATTGTCTGAAACATTCCATTTGTGCTTCTTGAGCAATCAAAACAGACACAGCAATTGGTGTGGTATGAAACCCTTCTCAGCCATCCTTAGAACAGGATAATTTCTGAAGTTGCTATTCAGTTTAGATATTGGATTTAATTTATGACATCAATAAATCATGTCATTTTCTGAAATTTTGATCTCACTTGTGTTTTCAGATGGAGGAAAGGTATGTCTACTCACTTATGTTTGGAAACATGGGCTTAATAGAAAAAGCAGTTATATAGCACATTTACTCTTATCCCTCAACACCAAAGTACATGAAGAGAAGTACTGACCATTCTGTACTCTTATGGCTGTAGCCAATTTCTTCTTTTGAACATGGAGCTGCAAAGAACAATTTAGATCAATGACAACATTTTTTTCTCACTTGGCCTTTGTTAAAAAAAAAAAAATCTTTGCCTGCATACATATTGAATATTAAAAAAAATCCAGACCATTATTGGGGAAGTAAAATGGATAAGTATAATGAAATAATACTTAAGTAAAATTTATTATGTAAAATTATATTACTTAATAAAAAAAAAAGAACAGTATCTGGGCCAACATCATAACCTATTGGTTAAGAGAGTCAGATCCCACATGGCTGAACACCATTCAAATCCTGGTTTTGCCAGTGTATAAAACATGCTGGGTGAGTATACACATGTGCTCAAAATCCTGAAAGATGAAGAAATGAAGGCTAAGGGACTGTGTTGTGACAATGCCAATTGGGAGCAGGGATGCTTTCTCACTCTCCTCCCTCCCTACCTCCCTCCCTCCCTCCCTCTCTCTCTCTCTCCCTCTCCCCCTCCCCCCTCCTTCTCTCTCCCCCTCCCCCTCTCTTTCTCTGTTACTCCTGCAAGCACACACACCCTCTGGTTAAAATTAAAAACAACAACTATAATCCATTGCAATCTTAGCTATTTCAGAATACAGAAAGGTAGCTGCTCAGCCATGGTCATTCCTAAGAGAAGGTTTGAAATAATGAAATGTAGCAGTAATGCACTTAGAGGCAGCCAGTTGTCTAACAAGTCAGGAAGTGGGAAAAAATGCTACAACCTGTGACATTTTTACTAGTTCTAATCAGGGAATTATATGCTGTAAGTATGTAATAGGAATTAAAGGAAAACTACTGTTACTCCAATATTTCATGGCCTAAATGTCTAATTATAAAGCTTATTTTGCTCAAATGTTCATTTTCATCAGCCAGTTGAGTTGCTTAGACCTGGGCCAATCTTCATGCTAGGTGTGGAGTTTAAAATCTTGTGCAAACACTGAGTTTAAGAGTTCTGTATGAACTTTTATTTACCCAACATTTCTGATGATCTTTTTCAACCTCTCATTCACTAGATTTGTGTATCTATTTAATTGGGAAAGGTATAACATTTTAAAGTAATAATTTTAAAATCCTGTGTTTGAGAAAGCTGAGTTTTGGATTCAACTTACGGATCTTACCTTACGATTATCTGACATTGATAGTTCACTTTCTTGAGCCTCATTTCTTCAACTTTAAATTGGGGAAGTAAGTGCTATTTTTATCATAGGATTCTTGTAATGATACAGTAAAGTAGAGTGCATAAAGTAAACAAGTAGTGGGGCCAGCAGGTGGTGTGGTGGCTAAAGGCACTGGATTCTCACATAACCAATCACAGTTTGAGTTCTGGACCTGGTGGCTTAAAGATCACACCAGGTAAGGGACTGGCAGTTGGCGTAATGGCTATGTCGCTGGACTCCCAAGTAGTCGACCGTGGTTTGAGTCCTGTACTTGGTAGCTTAAACTCATGCCAGGCATGTCTGTGTGCATGCCCAAGATCCCGAGAGGAGAATGGAGGAGAAGGGATTGCGGTGTGGCCATCCCCCCTGGGGGATGATTTCTTTAGAAAATTAAAAAAATAAATAAATAAATATATAAAAAGATCACACCAGGTATATGTGCATGTATGCCCAAATTCAGAGAGGAGAACAGAGGAAAAAAGATTGAGGCCTTGTGATGCCCCTGGGGTGTGATTTCTCACTTTCTCACTCTCAGGTGAGTGCACGCATCCTTTCGCAAAAATTTAAAAAAATAATAAACAATTAGTAAGTATTCTATAAATAATGATAGCCAGAATTTACACTTTTTTTCTTTTTAAAAAATTATTTATTTATTCATTCATTTCATAAGAGACAAAAGAGAATGAGAGAGACAGACAGACAGCACCCCCACTAGAATCCCAATGTCACAATCCACCCCAATGTCAGCCAGCTCTGGACCAAGGCATACACATGCCTGCTGCACTTAGGGAGGTCCCTGGATATGAACTCAGGACCCTCCTATTAGGCCAGCCTCAGAGCTCTATACCCTGTTATGACACCATCTAGTTCCCAACACTTACTTTAAAATACACTAGTGTCCTAACTCATGTAAAAATTTTTGCTGGAGAAAATGACCATCAAAATGAAAAAGACTAAAAATATTGATATTAAAGTTACTGACTAGAATTGCCCAGTCTGATTATCCTATGGTATGAGCCACATATACCCTATGGTACCATCTCTGTCCACCCATTAGGAGCTTTTGATCAGGTATTGTTCTGTTTCATTATTTAAAATAAACTGGTAGTGGACCAGTAGTTAGTGTGGAGGTTAAGATGCTAGGTCTCACATGACCAACTGTATGGTTCAAGTCCTGGACCCAGCGGCTTGAAAATCATGCCAGGCACATTTCTGTGCATGTCCAAAATCCCAAGAGGAGACTGGAGAAGAAACTGCAGAGACATCATCTCTCACTGAGTGGTTATTTCTCACTTTCCCTCTCTTTCTCTCTGTCTCTGGTGAGCCATGTGTCCTACAGCAAAAACAAAATGAAACAAACAAAAAACTGGCATCCAAAGGTCACTCAGTATTTTTTCAAAGTGTTGGATATTAAGAACAGAAGAAACAAAGGGAAACAAAGACAAAATGGAACAAAAACCAGCCTTTAAAAGACTTTAACAATAAAGTAGATTACACTATGGAGAGAACTGAAAATAATACCAGGGTGCTAAGAAAATGACCATTCAGAGAATAAAAAGAATCTTCAGCACTAAAAGCTTGATAACAGAAAAGAAAATAGAGTTGGAAGCTAAAATTAGAAAATGTCACAGAAAATAGGACAAAAAGATAATGACATGGAAGACAGGAAAGAAAAGATAAGAAAATTAGAGGACCAACACAGAAACCTCAATAGTCAAAACTCAATGAGTCCCAAAAAGAGAGAAATAGGAGGACAGCAAATAATCAATGAAGTAATTCTAGAATATTTTCGAGAATTGCAAAACATGATTTTCTAAATTAATAGAGCCCAATGAACACACGACATAGTAAATGAAAATATCCTAAACCAAAGTCCAAAATTTATGTAAATTCAGAACACTGGTGACAAAGAATAGGTGGTGACAAATAATAGGTCTAACAAATTTCTTTTACTTTTTTTTTTTTTTGGAGAGATTTTCACTGCAGGGCGCGTGCGCTCGCCAGACAGACAGAGAGAGACAAAGAGACAGAAAGCGAGAAATCACCCCCCAGGGGGGATGGTCACGCCACAATCCCTTCTCCTCCATTCTCCTCTCGGGATCTTGGGCACGCACGCACTCGCGCCCGGCGTGAGTTTTAAGCCACCGGGTCCGAGACACGAACCGTGGTCGACTACGTGGGAGTCCAGCGACATAGCCATTATGCTAACTGCTGGTTTCCATACAAATTTCTTTTACTTTTCAGAGAGAGGTTTTTTTTTTTTTTTTTTTGCTAAGGGTATGTGTGCTTGCTGGAGAGACAGAAAATGAGAAATCACCTCCCCAGGGAGTATGGCCATGACACAATACTTTCTCCTTCATTCTCCTCTCAGGATTTTGGGCACACAAGTACATGTGCCCAGCATGAGTTTCAAGCCTCCAGGTCTGGGACTCAAACCACAGCCGGACATATGGGACTCCAGTGATGTAACACTTATGCCACTTGCTGGTCCTGGTACAACAAATTTCTAGAGAAAGAAGAAGAAGAAAACAAAACAATTTTCATTTGGCAGATTAACAAATATAATAAGATTTCTGAAAAATATTGCTGAAAACAATGAGAGAAAAAGCCTTCCAAATTCTGAGAGAATATGACTTCTAAACTAGAATTTTCCTGTTCAACTAATCTATTAATTCATCATGAAGGGCAGAATAAGGTCATTTTCATACATGCCAGGTCTCAAATAATTTATCTCCCTTGCATACTTTCTCAGAAGGCCACATAAAGATAAAATCTTTGCAAAGAAGAGGATTAAGCAAAAATGAGAAAGACAAGATGTAGGAGTTCCAACACAGTAACATTAAGAAAATTCAGCCCGATGGTAAAGAGAAATTTCCAGAAGTGGTACGAAGACCCAAAGAACAGAGATTCCAGATTGAACAGGCCAGATGTCTCTAGAAACGTCCTCGTCAAGAAAAGATTGAAGGAGTATTCAACATGTGGCACATATCACAAGGAGCTTTAACAACCAAGGCTATGAACGTCTTGAACTAGCGGTAAGTACAAAACAAGCTGATCTAGTGATAAAACAGGGCACATAGAACAAAACATTGTGGAGGAAATAAAAAGTAATTATAGCAGCTGTATAACTCACATGCAGCTGTGGATATATATATATATATATGTGTGTGTGTACATATATACATCTATTTATATAGACAACATTAAATTATATAGAAAGCATATGTTGTATACAATGTACCTGTGAATGAACTCACATGTATATTATATGTAACATGTGTAACAATATAAAAATGAAGTATTGAGCTACCCAAAGTTATGATAAATCCAAATTCATGGTGGGATAATGAGAGCAGGGGAAGGATGGTGAAGAAACAAACCAATTTCCTTATCTTCCAAGAAGTCAACAGATACTGAATAGAAAGAATCAGTAAGAAGTAATATATTATTTAATGGCATAAGATTAAATGCTCAAGAATCAACTAAAATAATTGAAGTACTTTTGTCTGAAGAGATGGAAAATGAGTTGAGGTAGGACGGGAGGTTGCTTCTATTTAGAAGAAGCTTAGCAGCTGTATTTGATACTGAAGTGTTTATGTAATTTGATGAAAATAAAATCTAAATGTTAAAATGTCTCTAGGAGCCAGCAGGTGGCATAGAGGTTAAGTTGCTGGATTCCTACGTGCCCAATTGGAGTTTGAGTCCCAGACCCAGTGGCTCGAAACTCCTGTGCATACATGCCCAAAAATCCTGAGAGGAGAAGGGATTGTGGTGTAGCCATCCCCCATGAAGGGTGATTTCTCGCTTTCTGTCTCCTCTCTCTGGCAAATGCACACACCCTATTGAAAAAA